GGTCGAAAACCGTGTATTAGTTTATCGTGTATATTTGTAACTTTCTATGTCTTCATTTTGATTGTTTTGTTAAGATAAATTATATTATTGTGTTATGGTAATCATTGGCAAATAATATGTTATACCCATTTCTCAAACTTCAAATTAATTAGCTTGAGGTGAATTTTGAAAGGTTATACTCAATTCTCAAATTTCATATGCAACTAAAACCGCTGCAATATTGGAGGAGAATAATAGAATTGCCAAATACTATCTACTATAACTAATTTAAAAATATTTAATAAAATAAGAAAATAAAAAGAAAAACCGTATCTCAAAAAAATTATTAAGAATATTCATGCAACTCATAGACAGAGGTAAAATAAATAGTTTTTTTTTTTTGTTAAGTATCAACAATTTTTTTTGGTTAAGGATAAGTTCAAAGTACAAAAATACTTTGACTCGTTATAACTTTAAACGAAATTAATAATACATATCAAGCAATCATTAATTCAATTAATATATATAATTGATCTTTTCTATCCTAATGATACAATGAAAACGTGTTAAGAAAAATATTTTTAAGTATAAAAAATAGTTTTCAAAAAATCAGAAGAGTTGCTACTAAAGTTTATTAAAGAAAACCTTAAAAAAATTTTGAAAAATAATCTTTGAAACCAAAAGTCAGTTCAAAAGTCGTTTACTTGTAGACAAAGTATTAACATCCTACAACGTCTGTTTAAATAATGGTTACTTTCAATTAACTGTGTAAATTTATTTTAATTTTAAAAATATTTATTTAATCCCTAAATAATAAATATTATTATTATTTTAAGAGAAGACAAATTATTTATTGAAATATTAATTAATATCTTAAAAAAATTATTTTGACTTGATGAGTCTGATTCTCGCTCTTACATATCTTTAAGTACAATAGGGAATTCATGTAATTCTATCATAAAAATTTTGAAGTTGGTTGATTAAAATTAAATTTAGTAAAAGAAATTTTATTTTGAAATTAAAATTATTTTCATAAGATTATAATGTTTATAATACAAGATAACACGGTTATACATATATCCTACAAGAAACAATACGGAAGGTGAAGGAAGATCACACAACTATATTGCATGTTAAAAAAAAATTTGTAAATGAAATGTTTGAATTTCTATTTAAACTATGATTCATGTTGAAAGAGAATTTAAGATAAAGTAAGCTATATATAAATCTCTTATAATTTATTAGACAATCGAAGGCAATGTAAATCACACATGTTTGCAAAAATTTGTATAATAAAATGAAGAAATAATTAATTATTTAATTTATCAAAATTAGAAAAATGACTTAAGAAAAATTAAAATATAAAACTAATTTGATTTAATAAAATGAATAAATATATTTAAATTGATTAAAGAAAATAATTATTTAATAAAAAAAATTAAAATTTCATTTGATAAATTTATATTGCATAGAAATCAAGATAACGTTGGTATACAAAAGTCTTAACGATTTAAAGCGTATAAAGGTAGATGATAATGTGTTAATTTAATTAAATAAAGAAATATTTTTAATTAGATGATACATTTTAATTAAATAAAAATAATTATGTAATTGATTAATTTTAGAAGTTAGATTTAATTTTTAGTTGATTGATTAATAAATTAAAAATTAGAGAAGGAACATGTTTTGATTAATTATTAAGACAATTATCTAATTAATTAAAGATAATATATGATAAATTAATATTATGTAAATTCAAGGTAATGTAGGTACACTTATGCTTCATCAATTTATAATGCCTAACGATAGAAAAGTTATAGGTTAATATTATAAATTGATACATGAAATAAAAGGATATAAATTATAAATATAAAATTAAATCATAGCAATATTCTACAATTATACAATAAATAAAATAAAAGATAATAATTCTAAAGAACAAATAATTAACATATAATTAAGATATAAACAATGAAATAACATGAAAAATTATGAAAATAATTTATTGTTAATGTTAGAATGAAATAAATTTTACAAATAAAAACACAACTTAAATAAATAAAAATTATCATAATTTAGTATAATTTACACTACTTACTACCAAAAAGAGAAATGAAATGAAATTTTTGGATTTAAAAAATTAAATTTCTTTTAAAAAGGGAAAATCAGTCAAAAATAAAACTTTAAACTTGAGAAATTGAATTTTTAGAGTAACAAATTAGTTTTTTTTTTTTTTGTTAAGAGAAAAGCCATGAAAGGGATGTAGACAAGTTTCATAGATGTCATGATTAATGTTGAGTTTGCGGAAAAGAAACTTTCGTGGTTGAGGTGATTAGTTGAGGTTGAGGGGGAGAAACTTTCATGATTGATGGTAATAGGTTGAGGGAGAAAAGTTTTAATGGTTGGAGATATGGATGGAGGGAGATGAATTTCCATGACTGAGAATGGTAGGTTGAGAAAAAGGAAAAAAAATGGCAGAGAAAAAAGACTTTAATGGTGGATTTAAAATGTTGGAGATGATTAAAAGAGGGTTTCAATGACTTCATTGTATGAAACATATATTCATGGTGTGAATGTACTTGAATATACTTGAAATTTTCATAAAATGCATGAGAGACTTAATTAGAGTTCATGAACCATTTGCTTCCTCTTTCTCTCCATTTCCTTCTTTTTCTCTCTATCTCAAAAATGTATCCTCTCAAAATTTCCTAGCCTCCCTTTGATGTCTCTCTACTCCATGGTTCTTTTTCACCTTTTTCTTTTTCTCTCTATCTTCAAAATGTTCTCTCAAAATTTTCTTAGCATCTCACTTACGTCTCCCCTTCCTTTATGGTTTTATTCCCCTATTTTTGCTTTAGGGTTTTTTACAAAAGTCCAAAAATTCTAAAATTTTCCTTTTTTATGTATAAAGCAAGTATTGCTTTAGGAGTAAAATTATTTGTAATGTTTCATTTTTCAATTTTGAAGTCAAATATGAATGTTCCCATTTTGTTAAAGCAAAATTTAATTTTCTTAAAATATTTTGTTCTTATTTTATTTTTATAAAAAATAAATTCAGAAATTCTTTTAAAATAAAACTTAAGAATTTTTAAACAAAATTTGGGTATTAACATTCCCAAAGGCCCTGTTGCAGGCCACTTCCAAGAACGACACTTAATAGAATCAAACATTTCACTACCATTTAACACATCGTTATTGAAGAGAATATTATTCTATTAAAGCTAAATTGTCCATACTACCGCAGATCATACAATTACAACTTTCTTCTATTTCTTTTTTCCATATTTGATTCCACACATGCTCAATAATAATGTCTCATATAAATTTTCAAGTAAGCAACTAACACCAAACCGTTCAAACACCATGTATCACAGTCTCATTGAGATACTGCAATACAAAAAAGTTGCAATATTTTCTTATCTTCTATATCACACAACCTACAAGCTTTTGAGGAAATTGTCAATATGCGTTTGGTCAAATTCCTCTGCATCGAAACTCCATTAGCAGTAGACGCTAGCCAAACAAATACCATTACCTATAATGAAGAAATGATAAATGTAGTGATAAGTGAATTGCATACTATATTTCTTGTTATCATCATACTTTCATGTCAATATATCATTCACATTTTTGCTCAGTCTCTTACCCTCCACAGTCTCCCACAACTGCTGTTATAACTCCTCCTGCCATGAAAATAATTGCCTTCTCCAAACAAATTTTCACACTTATTGACCCATATCAAATCGTCCATTATCCACCACTGCCTCTTTATTAGTCATTGCTTAAAATAACCTTGGGTATAAATTTGTCAACGTAATATTTTTTATCTATTTATCCTTCCAAAAACTAAAAGAACAACTATTGTCAAGTACTCGTGTGACATTTGAATCTATCCACCCATTGGCTTGCTTACAGACTCACATCACGTCCCTCCACCAATCTTAAGCATTATGAGCAAAGAAATTAACATATTAGCACACGATTCATACCACGCCTGCAACACATCAAAGCAAAGTGAGTTTGAAAACTCTAATCCTCTCCAAAACTATTTACCCAACAAGTTCTATTTGAACCATTTCACATTTCTCACTCTCAAATCCTAATTCTTTAGTATGCATATTCTTTCTCATTTAACGCAAGCTATTTTTTTAAGATTCCTTCACGCTATTTTAAAGAAACCGACATTAAATCTTTACTACCTCTTTAATTACATCGGAGAGCATTTTTCAAAAGGATAAATAATGTAGTGAAATAATATATTAGTTATGTAAAATATCCATATCATTAAATAGTATAATTTTGTTTTATGAAAAAATGTATTACTGACTTTGAATTTACTCAAATAAATTTTAAAATAAAGTTAAAATAAAAAATTATTGAATATTTGTAATTTTAAAAATTAAAATAATATGTTACTGATCCTTATGAATTAGACTTCAGAAATACTTTTTGGGTTAAAAAAAAAAAGCTAAATTAAGTAGTGTCCGTGCTAATGAAAGACCTAACAACCCTATCATATGTGCTCGATTCTCAAACCGGTGACAAAACCCTCCCCTAATCAATAGACGATATCATAGTTTATTTGTATATTTCAAAAGGAAAAAGAAAAAAGAAAAGAATTGGAGTTCAACTTAACGACCCTATCTTTCAAGCTAAAACAATATTATGAGATCACTATTGCTTCAAGTTACCGTCAAATCGCTATCAATCATCAACTTCAATAATAATTATTATTTCTTATACTACATTATTCTGTCATGTACAAGAGTAACAGATATAATCTGAGAACCCAAGATAAGGACACGGCTACAAACCAGTCTATAAGAATTATAATATATACAGATATTAATATATCTAATAAAATAATTTCATAAACTCTTTTTGAATATAGACAGCTAGAGAAAAATAAGGAAAAAAAACACAAATATGATAGATGATGGAGAAAAAAGGAAATTAAATAAATAATAACTTTGTTGGATGTTTCTAAATCATAATTATCATCCAAACCATTGCAAAAATAATCAAACTGTGCCCTTTAATTTCTCCGTATCGATGAGCATGTTAACAATGGAAAGTGCTATAGCGGAAAGCTGAAAAGTATCCTTGTTTCTCTTTGTTAATGGCGAAACGACATCGTTCTTTTGCTTGAATCCATCCTCACATGTGGTAGAGGCATCAATGACTGAGCTTAGCTTGATATTTGAATCACCATAGCGCTTGGCCTTGTAATCTCTAATGGCTCCTCTAAGAGTTGAAATGGCGTCAGAATAAACTTCAAGGCAATCATCTAAGCATTCTTTGATGAATGGGTCTAAGCCCTTATTTTGGTTCAAAAGCTCGTTGATGTGAGCACTAGTATTTGTCACGTTGTGCCTTACTAGCTTGATGGAAACTAGGCCTAGTTCTTGGAGGGTTTTGGCACAGTGACTTCTACGGTCTGATTGGAAAGATGTTATGCAAAATTTGTAGCTTATGTTGGGATCACTATTTGAGCAATTCTTGCATGTTTGTCGGATGAGACGATTGGCACAAAGACAACAATGGAAAGAACTCAATAGGATTGTGAGAGTGAACAAAAGGGAATAATAGGGAGGGCTCATTTTCTTTGTCAAGAGTTAAGAGATTTTGGAGTTAATGTCTATATTTAATTGGGGTAACAATGTAACGTGGAAATTTATAGCTTGGGAAGTTGAATGTGTAGTGGTTGGAATGCTTATAAGGAAATAAATTAAATGTAAGTTGCCGTCTAAACAAGGAGGAATTACAAGGCAAGTTAATTGGGTATGATTAAAGGGTTGTAGAATTGTGGTCTCAAGAAAGTAAAAAGAACTGAGTGGGATTTTGGTTTACGTGAAGATTTTGAAAGGATTGGTTATATATAAAGTGGGAGTGACGGGAAATTAATATAGCTACTCACGCTTTATTCAATTAGTAAGTTACCTTGCCTTTTAAACGATTTATATAAGTGATTTAAGGATAAATCACATGCCATTGATCACTTTAATTAATATAGTGGACAATTATTTTCTACCGTAAAATATGAGCTATTAAAACCGATCTAACAAACGAGTAAATAAGACCTACTTGCTAACTCTTTTTTCTTACTTTGATTAATTCCTTTACTTAAAACGTATTTTAAATAAGTTGAACCATGTCATTGTCGCCATTGGGGGCAATATTATGGAGACTTGAGAGTTGGGTTCATATGAAACTTTACCAACGTTTAATGGTATAAGAAGTTCACAAAATGATGCAGTTTGAACATTGTTTATGGTGAAAAATGACAATTGTAAATAAATAATTCAAAGATCAATTTAGGGACTGGATTATGTCCTCTTTGGGTTCTTTTAAGTGTGTTGTTAACGTGATGCTCAAACTAACGGCAAGTATTAAGCAATAATAGGAATAGTAAACGTGAAGAATTGAATCAAACGTAGAGGTTCTTTACAGAAAAGTGTGAAATAAGACACAAATTGCAGAAAAAGGAACGAAAGCAAACAAAGAAGCTAGAAATAAATTGCAGAAAGGTAAATGTGCAGGAATGTAAATATGTTGGAATGTAAACGTACGACTCCTCACAACGACGAACAGCAGCCACCGTGGATCTCCTTATAGTTGGTGTCTAGCACGGTGCAGGGTTTCAGCGTTTCAAAGAGTTTAGGTGCGGTGTCTGAGTGCAAAAAGTCGTCCTCTGTAGAATGGCGCTTTGGGGTATTTATAGTCAGGAAGATCACCACCATCCTCTTCCTTTTGCGGGCACTTCTTAGTAACTGCCTTCAACTGTTATGTCCATTATCCACAATTGCTTGTGATCGTGCTATCGGTAACTGGTAGTAACCATTATCACCCGTGATCTTTTCTTTGCATAGTTGACCTTTTGCCTAATGTTGGTAACTGCTAATAACTGCTAATAACTGCTTTTGCACTTGACCTTTCAAGTCAATTTTTTTGTCTTTCGAGTTATTCTGAGAGGGTCTTAGAAAGCTCATTTAGTTTATGACCTTAGAATAATTTCTCCTTGCCTTCTCTTTTCGACTAATTTTGGGGTATTAAGAGCTTGTCTTGATCTCATGGACTTAGAATATTTTCTTTGCTCATTTCTGTTTCTCGAGCAATTTTTTGGAGTTTTGAGAGCTTGTCTTGGTCTTGTGGACTTAGAATATTTTCTTTGCTCATTTCTGTTTTTCGAGCAATTCTGGAGGGACTGGAGCTCAGCCATGTTTGTAGACTTAGAATATTTTCTGACCACTTCCTATTTTTCAAGTAATTCTGGAGGAAATCTGGAGCTCAACAAAGTTTGTGGACTTAAAATATTTTATGATCACTTCCTGTTTTTCGAGCAATTCTGGAGGGACTTTGGAGCTCAACCAAGTTTGTGGACTTAGAATATTTTCTGACCACTTCTTATTTTTCGAGCAGTTTTGGGTGTCAGAGATTTAGAAACTCCTCAAAACGCCTCGAAAAGCCATTAGTTTTTGTGGACTTAGAATATTTTCTTGTCAGTCCTATTTTTTGAGCAGTTTTGGGTGTCAGTGACTAGGAAACTCCTCAAAACTCCTTGAAAAAGGCATTTAGTTTTGTGGACTTAGAATATTTTCTTGTCAGTCCTGTTTTTCGAGTAGTTTAGAGAAAAATCAACAATGTGACAAAAATCTCCTAAAATAGCTCGAAATGTGTCCTTTTTAATAAAACTAAAGGTCTTGGATAATCTTTCAATACTCTCTTATGTTTAGGCCTATTTTTTGGCTCCTTTTTGACCCTCAAAACTTGTTGAAATGTAATTTCCCTCAAGATGATTTTTAACTTAGAAAATTTTTCTTATCCCAAACAAACATAAATCCGCTACTCAACAATGAAGCCATCGCTGTCACACACACAAGAAGTCGACGAATTTGGAGCTTTAGAGTTTATGCTCCAAATCAAATTCAAACAAAAAGAAAAGAACAAAACATACCTTACTGCTACAAGCATTCCTGAAATAAACACAGTGGAAGCGCGACACCAGCAAAAGGAAGGGTACTTTCATGAAAATCAAGAAATTAACAATGAAATTGAATGCTTACCGAGAAAGAATTCTTTTCTCACAGTTTAACAAATATAAAAGATTTAATTATGTTTTTAATCCTTATAAATTGATATTTTGTTAAAAGTCTTTATCAAATTTTTTTTGTTAAAATTTAATTTTTAAATGGTTAAAATGTTATAATTTAATCTTTCTATCAACTCTTTATGTTAAATATTAAACTAGCAGAAAGTCAACTCAACATTCTATCGTAACATACTATATCATTTAATTTTATAATATTTTATTATTTAAAATTAATATTTACAAATAAATTTTTAAATATATTTTTAATATCTACAAAAAGAAAGTCATTTACCATATATTTTTCTCTCCTAACCTCATCCTCAACCTCAAATATCTCTCATAACTCCTTCAACTCTTTCTCTCCCTTACCTTTACCCTCTCCCTCTCCCTTCCCACCACCTTCCACTTCCCCTTTAAACTCATTCCACATCTTTAACTCCACATTTTTCATATTTCGCACTTAATCTTACACTTTTCTCACACTCTCTTCTACATGTTTTCTACTCTCTCTCTCACTCATACCCCCACCCCCACCCCCACCCCTACTCCTACCCCCATCCTTGTATCTAACTCTACACTTTTCTCCGTCCCACTTTTAATATTATGATTTGGTGTGATTTTTTTGTTAGTTATTATTTATATATGTTTATATATTTTTGGATTTTGATTAGTAGAAGACTGTGAAAGAAGTTTGTGGAGCAGAGAATAGGAAGGATAGGTAAAAGGAGAGAGGGTGGCTGTTGAGGAAGTGGGGAAGAGGAAGGATAGGTAGAGGGAGAGAGGGTGGGAGTAGGTTAAGTGTTGAGGAAGTGAGGCATAAGAAGATTTGGGCTCGACAGAATTTTTTACAAATATTAAAAATATGTTTAGGAATTTATTTATAAATAGTAATTTTAAATGATAAAATATAATAAAATTAAATGAATTGACATCTTACGTGGAAGTACTTAGTCAGCCAACATTTAATATAAGAGAAACAACTTAACATTTAACACAAGAGAATTAATAGTAGGGATTGAATTCTAACTTTTTAACTTTTCAGGAACTAAATTATAACAAAAAAAAATTATAAAGACTTATCACAAAATACTCAATATTTATAGAGACTAAAAATATAATTAAATCAATATAAAAAATTATGTTATACAATTTAAAATATCTAATTTCCTTAATTTTTTTTAAATAGAAATAAACTACCACTTTGTGATAACACGATATATAATAACAATTATTAAAGTTAAAAGTAATGTGACAAATTTAAATGTATGTAAGCATCACACTAAATAATAATAATAAAATTTATTTATAAAAATTTAAAATTTATGAAGAATAAAAGTACCAAAATTAAAACTTTGACAAAAAATTTTGGAAAACAAATACCTTTACCAAAAGATACCCTCCATAAATTCTAATAGAGTTGTGAAATTTCAAATTGGATCAACTCATGGTTGATAAATTTAAACAAAAAATATTCTTTTTTAATTTTCATTTTTATCATTAACCAATAAAAAATATATTTTATTAAAGATATTATAGACCATTTGTTTATTTTATTTTATTTTTACAAATCTTATTATTAAATAACTTATTTTTTATTATGATATTCATTTAGTTATTTTCTTCTAACCATTTTACTTGTTACTTTAATTTCATACTTATTGCATAAGTATTAAAGGTATGACAAGCACGAATTTATATGTGAATTTATCAACATAATCTAAATCAATAACAATTAGCATTGGTTTTTTTATAATTATAAGTGTTACATTTTACTATATTAAAACATTGTTAATTCATTAATTTATTAGATTATAATAAATTTTAGACAAAATAATGTTTTTTCCTTCACCTTTAAAGTAATATTTTATTTTATTTTTTATTTATTTTAATCTTCTAATTTTTAAAAGATTTAAAAATATGTTCTTTGTTGTTAAAAATGTTAGATTTATTAAAATATTATCTTTTTTTGCTACTTACATCATTCATATTCTTTCTTAGACTACATTTGTAACTCTATTTGCTCATATTTCTTTCTCTTTCCCTTCCTTTTCTTCTTCTCATTCCTCTCTTTCATCCTTGAAATCTTAATATTTGGATGCAATCGAGCAACTACTAATATCTAAAAATCTCCTTTCTTAGCTTAGAGATGGCTTTTATGATGGTCAAAATATTGAAAAAGAAGTTTAACTTATTTACATATACATCCTTTCATCTTCTTTGTCTTATAACCTTATCATATTGAAAAAGAAATGTTGTTTGTTGCTCTAAGAATTTTTACTATTTGAAATGAATATAGAGTTTTTGTTTTTACCTTTACATTTTTTTATATTCACTTTTAGTTTAATCATAATCTCAATTTAGTATTAATATTCTTCTTTCTAAATTATTATCCTCAATAGTCATGCAACGTAAAAAGAGAGAGAAAACATAAATATCTTATGAGTTTGTTAATTTAATAATTGATTGAAAGAGAAAATTTTAATTTAGTCTACTTAATTTATTTTTTCTATTTTACCCTATGGTTTCATTAATTATATATGGTATAATCACCGACAATAAATTATTTATGATATGTTAAGAGTAATAAATTCTAAACACATAAATATAAACTCATTAAGATAAAATTCAATAAAAAAAAAAAGGAAATTGCAATTGTGCTTAAACATAAGACTATATAAAGTGTACAAAAGATCCACTGTAACCCTAACTATGAATTTAACTACTCATAATGAAATAATTTATTTTTTTTAAAGAAATGCAAACTAGAAGAATTTCAAGGGAAAAGACATGAGAAGAGTTCTTATCTCCAAAAGGACTTTTGATCACTTGGTCATACTTAATAAAAGTATATTACATCTTTGCTAATGATCTTCACTCCTAAAGGACTTCTAAAGTCAACTAAAAAAGTCTATATGTCAGTTGTGTGAAACCCTTTATATAAGGTGTTGAATTCAAGAAAAAATAATGATTTAGCCTCCAAAATGTATATTTTATCAACAAAGACATGACTTATCAATAGATAAAGATATGATTTGTTGTCAAATCCAAAATTCAAATTCCCTCTTGTAGGCTTCTTGAAAATCTCTAAATCAATTAGACTAGGAAAGAAGCACAACTGTATGTACCCTCTAGTACGGCTGTGCATGATCATGAGGCACCCACACACTGACTATTAAGCAAGATCATGCTTCCTACTATGCGACCCTACTTTCTATCAAATTTTCTTCAATTATGACTAAAATGCTTATTCAATTCATTGGTGACCTCACGCTAAAATGTATAAAATCTCCATTAATATAGACCAAGTATATGAAAATAAGTTATAATAATACCCCAAAATATAAACTTATGAAGACTCCACTAAAGCATTTATGACTTCGCATCCTCAAGCTGCAAAATGCAAAGTGAACATTGATGAAGTAAGCCAATTTAATGAGTTGCAAGTCAATTTCGTGGAGTAAGTTGTAGGTTTTTCACTATAATAAAGTAAAAATAAACTAATTTACCAGAATAATGTATTTACAAAATATTTTTCTTGTTTAAAGTATTTTTGTCATGCCACCTCAAATTTTAATTATGTTATTTTGTGTGATGTTGATTTTTATCTTTTATCAACTTTAATTTTTTTAATAAAAAATAAGCGTCAATTTTACAAGAGCTAATACTTAAAAGTGACGTAACAAAAAATATTTCAAGCAGAAAAAATATTTTATAAATACCCTATTTTAATAAATTTTTTTACTTTTACCTTATTTTAGTAAAATAAAAATAAAAATCAGTGTCTCACAGAACATGACACCAGTGTAAAAATGGATGCAATGTTGGATTAAATTTACATAAATATATAAAATTAATTTAATTAATCTAAACTAAAATATAATAATATAAACTAGATACATCAAATATATATATATATATATGAAGCATGATTTTCTCACACTAGTATAAAATTAAAATCTCTTACACTAGCTTTTTGTTTAACTTACATTTATCGGGTTATAATTTATTATTAAATTAAATAAAAGATTCAAATTAAGTATAAAAATTTTAGATTTATACTAATGTAAGAAGGTCTTTATATATATATATATATATATATATATATATATATATATATATAATTTTATTTCTTAACAAAATAATCCAATACTTCAAGTCAAACCAATCTAAATCTTATTGGATTTTGAAAAAAATGTACAAAAATTGAACCAATTTAAATTAATTATTTTTAATCGGTTTGTATATTATTTTTTATACTACAAAAACTAACGATTATTTCATAAAAAAAAAAAATACTCAATTTATAGAGCCTTATTCGGTAAAAGGCAAAAGTAAAAAAGAGATTTTACAATTTGAATTAAAAAGAAAAGTACGTGGATAAGTCGGAGAAAGTTAAACCCCAAGACAAAACCCCTTCACCTCAAAGCCTGCAGCATCGTTGTGTTCACACTTGTGAGTTTGTCCCAACAACATCAATGGCTAAGCTTAGGACAGCCATTGATTCAGCGTTCTATGACTTCAACGTTGCTTCTCCTCAATGCCACGATGGTTGGGCCAAGGCTGTTCCCGGCGACCCCATTCCCCTCGACGGTTCGGTCGGAAGCAGAGTGCTTCGCCCTCAGCAATTGTCGTTTTTGCCTCTTCCCATCGTCGCTTCGCTCTCTCCCACTTCCCCTAAGGATTTGGGTTCTTTCTCTCTTCAGGGCCTTCTCTTCAAATTCTCTTCCCCTCGCTGGTAACTAATCTTTCATTCTTTTCTTTTTGTTGTTTTTGTTTTGTTTTGACCGTGTTTGTAATTTTGTTGAATGTGGCGGCTAATGGGTTCCAGCATTTGAGAATTGAGAGTTTGATTGTTTCAGGTGTTTTTTATTTTGTTAATAATACTGTTTTGTTTTAAAAATCAAAAGACGTGTTTAAAAAATTATATTAATTATGTATCTTTCTTTTTTAAAACCAAAGGAAAAAGCTCAAAAAAATGTTTGTGGGCATATCTAATGTGGTTGAACGTGGTAGGAAATAGGGTCTCAAGCATTTTAAATCTTAAAGGGTTGTTTGTTTCTTTGGTTATGATAAGAAGCCAAGCTCTCTTGTTCGGTCATATTTCCTTTTCAGGGTCTTTTGTTAATTCTGTTATTTTTAGACACTGGAGAAAGCTATTTGAAGGGATTCTATTCTTTTGTTATTGATTGGAACTAACTGAGTTGTAAGCTAAAACCCCTCTTTTGTTGTACAAAAGAAGAAAGAAACAGAAAATGTATATTTGTTGGTTTGTATCTTGAAATGACACATTCATTGTGTATCTCAGTAACTACATTCAATCCACAATTCTTGACGATATGTTGACCGTTGAGTGCTGTTGTCATTTTTAAAGGGTTTAAGTGTTTCATAGAAGCCACCATATACATAATAGAAAAGAAAAGGATATGACACTGCATCTACTTCGATTTTATGATTATAGAGCCATATGTAAAAAGTGTAATCAGGCAATAATGTAAAAAATAACTGTCGGCAGATAGTTTTGGTTCTCATTTGTGTCTCTTAGCACATATCTACTGACTAAGAACTATGGCTAAGGAGTTTATGATTATTGAGTCTCATGACATGCGCTACTCTTTGAAGAATTTGAAATGATGTCATATAAAAATATAATCAGGTCATAATGTAAAAAATAGTTCATGTTGGATTCTTTGAGCATGTAAAGAATTCATGTTTCTTATTTCTCTAGGTTATTCAGTATGAAAAAATTTCCATGTTGACATTTGCAGTGTCGTTCATTAATGGCTTTGATCAGATTTTTATAATCTAGATAACTCTATTTGAGTCTCATCTTTCCATTTTGTAGGTAACTGAATGAGTCCATCAATTTATCTAGTATCTACTGCAGATTTTTTCCTGTTTTTAATCTCACCTAATAATTTGAAGGTGTGAAATTTGACAGACATGACAAATTTCCAATCCATTATTTCATGCCTCATTTTTCAAAGAATAGTGCATGTCATGGGACTCGATGATCCTAAACTCCTTAGCTATAGTTCTGTGTCAGTAGATATGTGCTAAGAGACACAAATTAGAGCCACAACTATCTGTGGACATTGGACAGTTACATTTTACATTATGACCTGATTATATTTTTATGTGACATCATTTTAAATTTCATCTCTTCAATGTACTCATACAGCTTAATTATGATCAATATACAGGTGGCTTGCAATGACTGGACAATTTCGTCCCAGGAAGTTGATTGTTGATCTAAAAAATGAGATCTCTAATGCTGAAGAATTCGATCTTTCCACTGTCAAGGATGTTGCAAAACATTTCATCAACAAATCACTTTTGTCAGTAGGGTTAACATCACAGTTCTCTTTTCCTCCTTCAACATCCGTGTTATTTGCTATAGAGGGCCATGGTGAGAAAGACAAACTGCGCAGCAAAGTGATGGTTTTTCACAAGGCATGGAATTTAATGGATTGTCATTATTTTTCATTATATCTGATATGAAATATTTAAAATGCTGGGGCCTGTTTAATTTGAGAACTTTTTTTTTTAAATTTGTTTCTTGTTTTCAAACATTTGAACAGGAACTGTTGAAAACAGCATGTTATTGTTTTCACCATTTCCTGTTAAGTTACTGAAAAATGATGTTTCAACTTTAACCATCCATCATATCCCCTAAGATGTTTGAGTGCTATAAAAAGGTACACATGTGTTTGGGATGAATTGACATAAATTACTATCAAATTTAAAATTTTATTGGTTGGTTCTTTTTTATTGTTATCGAAATCAGATAGCAGAGTGATTGAACTTTTGATTCTTGTGGGGTTGTAGCCACTAATACCATCTACAGTAGGCTGCCTCAATATTTTGGTAAATTTTGGATGTGCTGAAAACAGGACAATTTTTACTGATTTGTTTTGGTAATGTTGGTAGGAATAAGGAGTGCAGGCTTTATGATGCTGTGCATTTATTGTGTCCTTTGGCATATTTTATTGAGGTGTAATTGCTTGGTATTTAAGGACACATTTTTGTCCTTTATTTGTTGTGGGATTGATGGCATCTATTTGGTACTCAGCTTATTTCATGGTTTCCATAGGGTAGTCTCACATGGACAGGCAACGTGATTAAAAGGCTTAATTGTATTGAGCTGTCTTCATGTAGTAATATGTTACTCCTAATTTATTTTTATTGTTACTCCTTCATTCTCATTGTTTATTCTTAATTTGTATTTTACTTCTCCATTCCTGTTATTTTATTTTTTTTTAATTGTTGATTTACATTTGTATATTCTCCATATTAATGTTGCGCTGTTATTGTGTGCCATGCTTTCCTTTTGTTTTGATTCTCTCTCTATGTATCCACACTCGCACTATGGTGCTTGAGTGTATTACGAAATACCTCAAAAGGCATTTTTTCATGCAGCTTCCCGATCATGATCTTACATTGGAGGCAGCATGGCCTCAATTGTTTGTTGACCATAAAGGAAAATACTGGGATGTTCCTGAGTCTATATCTGTTGATTTGTCATCCCTTGTGTCTGAATCTGGATTGCGCTATCACTTTGGGATACATAAAAACGGTGGTGATCCACAGACAGTGAATACAACTGAGGGCAGCCCACCACTATCTCTACTGCCAGGGTTTTGTGCAAAGGCTTCCGTTTCTTATGAGAAGATCAAGGACTTCTGGAGAGAAAAGGAGGCTGAGGAACAACAGGAAGACACAGTGAAGCCTTATGATGTTCGTCTTAAGGAACCTCATGCAGCAATATCTGGAATTATTGGTAATTTCTCTATATTGATATTATTATTACTCTTTGAGATGAGAATCAATATGTTCATGTAATTGTCAATCACTCTTTCATTTGTGACATGGTTTACATGTTTCTTTAAAATTTCTTTCTTGTATACAGATGTCTTTCCCAATATTCTTGTTTCCTCTTCAATTGTTTCTGTTGAAATATGGCTTAAGTAGAAAAAAGGAAAAAGAGACTAAGAGAGGAAAGGAATACTCACATAGTTACAATGTATCAAATTATATTGATAAATGTGGTATGATGTGATACAAAATACGAACCTTTAACTCCTATTTATACCGGTGTTAGTCTTCAAATCCTAACCAAATAGAAATTGGGGAAATATAATGAAAGATCATTTTAAGATGCTCTAAATTATTCTAAGATGCAACGAAGACACAGATAATTTTTAATGCATTTATTGTATAAGCAAAATCCAAATATGCTGAATGTGAGTGCTTATGACTATTTTAATTCTTGAGTTGTTGGTTTGTGTGAACTACAAATCAAATAGGACGATTTCCTACATGGATTATATGAGGTTGATTTCCTTACTATTTTCTCATTATTGGCAAACTGAGGGATGATAGCTTGGTAGACAAGTTTGTGGCAATTATGTGTTACTTATTTTAATTTTGTTATTGGTTTGTAACATTGTAGGTAGCACCTTTACTTCATGGATCTGGAATGGGAGGAGCTTTTCTGGCAATTATTCAAGAGAAGATCTAGAGTTGTCAACAAGAAGCAAGAGATCTCGATTCAATGCTGATTTGTTTGGTTCAGTTTGCTATTCTTTTCAGCGTGGAAAATTCACAAAAAAATATAGGGACTTAACCAGGCTAGATGCTCGTCTAAATATATCTTCAGCTTCTGCACTTGCAAAGAAGATTGTGAATGGTTTCAAGAGTTCTACTGCCGATGTTAGTGAACAATCATCAGCCTCACCCCGGCTAAATTTAATCTTTCAACAGCAGGTACATACTCTCCCCCTTGATAAGAGCAAGTATCTGCTTGAGTTTAGTAATTTAAATGTTCTTAAATCAATAATAAGTTTTTAACTGCAAAAAGCATTTTAATTGGGTGGGAAGAGTACTAGAAGAGTTCTCCGACAAGTGTTTATGTAGCTTATCCAATAAACAAAATTTGAAGCTAGATATATGTAGAGTGTCTGTTTGATTTAAAAACAGTATTGATTTAAGTGAAATTCTTTTTTGTGCAATTGAATATGATAGAGATATGTGCCTAAATTTAACCTGAACTACATAACTTTATTGGAATGTGTGTTATTCATTGGAAAGTGCAATAATTGAATTTTCAATTGTAAAACAAACAAGCCCAATCTTTTGATTTTCATAGTAGGAACCAGAATTGTACACAGCTTAGGAATATAATTATGCAAATACTATGTTCTGGATCAACATACTGTAGCTGATCCAAGGCTATGATTCAGAAAGGAAAAGAAAACAAAAGGGTTTGATTTCATAAGTGTTTACTTGTAGGTTGCAGGGCCAGTTGTATTTCGAGCTGATTCCCAAATTGCACTTGGGTCAAAATATGGTGTGTCAATAGAGGATTTCATCTGCAGCTTGAGTTACTCCTTTAAGTCTCTAGAATCCGGAAAGGTAGTTGCTTGGTACTCTCCAAAAAGGAAAGAGGGAATGGTTGAGTTGCGGCTGTATGAGTTTTAGTGAAATGCAATTCTCACTTTTTTTGTAACTTTCATGGATAGACATTTTGATCCAAGAAGCTCTGCATGCTTGCTTTAAAATATGCATTTATTTAACATTTCCTACTTGCATGAAGTAGATAACCTGCTGAAATTCAACATCATTGATTTTGTAATGCAAAAAAAAGAAAAAAAATAAATCAGTTGCTTCTTTGTGTTAGCTTTCTCTTTTTCCCTTTTGGACATGAGTAGAGTAATGTACAATGTATACTTGGTTGGCCAGATAAGACTAGCAAAGCATACTACACTAGATGTTCTAAAATTCAAACCGATGATTGAACAGTGAAAGAAGTTCAAGGTTCAATAGTTCAAGTTAAATTGAGGTCAAACAGCTAGTAATAATTAGAATTCTTCGTAAGAGAAAAAGACTAATATAAAAAATGAGTAAATTTTCTTTCGTAAGTTGAAAATAATTTATATTTCTTTATTTTTTTAAAAAAAATTCACATTTAATATTTATAAAATTTAAGATGAATTGTTTTTAACACATGGGAGAAAATTTATTTATTTTTTATATTAAATTTTTTCTCTAAGAACTTAGTTTATTTAAATGAGTTTATATGATAAAGTAAATGAATTAATGTAAAATTATAAATAAAATGAAGTTAAACAATTTTTTTTTAATTAATATAAGAGAATTATATTACATGTTTTACAAGATAAAAAGTTCATAATAATATAATACATCAATATTTAAAGAGATCAAACGATTATTTAAGTCTATAGTTTAGTATTAAATATTTTAGTTATAATAAAATTAATTTTTTATTACATATTTGTTTATATATACACACAAACTTTATATTAAGAAATGTACAAAAAAATTATACGAAATAGAGATAAAATTTTTATTGTTTATTTTACAACAGTGCGTTATATATCAACATGGTAACTGCAACAATGATTAAATTTCCTCTTATATTGAGTAGGACTTGAGTTGGTATGGAGAAGACATCCTCTGAATATTTTTCCCTTCCGGTTGAAAACCAATTGAATGGTAGACCGATTTCAACTATTGTCCAGGTCGATCATCTGGCCAGCTCAAAACAACCAATCTATAAATAAGGTAATTAATTTTAATTAGTTATATTAACATAATTTGTTTAGAAACTTTTAATATAAGAGAAATCTAAATTTATAGTTTTTTTAATGTAATATTTAATTATTTCTTTATTCTTTTTTAAAAAAATTCTGACATTTTAAAACAATAATAAAATATATGTATGTATGATTCAAGTATTTTTTTACGAGACTTTGTACCAGACAATACTAAGTATGTGTGAAATTTAATATAACAAAAATAAAAATATAAGAGAACTGTAATGTAATGATGTAGTTTTCAGTAGTATGAATAATTAACTTTAAAAGAATGATATTATCTTTAATAATGGTGTACTAAAAGTTAGTGAAATATTTAATTTTATTAAGTATTGTTCTTAAAATGTGAATTAGATTAATAATCTTTTAATATGTATTATTAATTCACTTTAGAGATGTATCTTTAATAAAATATTAATACTTAACATTCTAAAATAAGTGACCTAGTAAAAAGTAAGTTATAAAAAATAATAAAATAAATAAAATTATTATGTATTATTCTCTATCCATCAACCATAATTAACCTAAAAGAAAATAGTTTAGAATCAAATCAATTCTTGAATTCGTGGAGTGATAAAGTCAGGAACATAGCAAAGACATACAAAAAGGAACAACAGGAAAAAGTGCACCTTCAATTTGTCTCTGTTTAAAACCACTCTCAGAAGTAAAATTTTAAAATAGCATTTGACAACACTTTTGGGACTAACATTGACGAAATACCATAATTTTGGAAACTCTTAAAATTACACTTTTAGAATTAGATTTTTTAAAGTTTATTGTAATATCTTTTGAAATTAATTTTTAAAAAATCTGCAATTCCTAAAATTTAACATTTTTCCGAAAAGAGAAAGAAAAATATTTTTAGAATAATTTTTAAAAAAATAAGGGTAATTTTTTTCTTGTTTAAAGGGTGGTGTATTTAGAAAAGAAAAAAATATGCAAAATGTTTGGACCAAAGGAGAATCGCAAGTCGCAACTTTCAACGTGGGTTTCTTTTGTGTTTGGCTCAAATATTTTGAATTTTGAAAATTAATTTTGCAATTGTAAAACTTTTAATTTAGAAACTTACCTTCAAAAATGTATAATTCTAATTTTGGTAACTTATTTTTTAAAATGGTTGATAATTATAAAAACTAAAAACTTAATTCATAAATTAATTTGTGAAAGTGTTGAATCCTAATTTTAAAAACTTATTTTTAGAAATTGTTTCATAAATTAGTTTTTAGCAGTATAAAAACTTAATTCTAAAAAAATTATTTTTAAAAATATTTAATGATTCTGAAAATTAATTTATTTTTAAATTGTATAGTTTTTTTAACTTGTTTAAATATTAATATTTTATAATTATTTTGTTTCAATAATATTAATATAAAAAATTATAATAATTATAAGTAGATAAGAGATTATTTATTTATTAATATTTTCTTTGAGTTTATTTTTTTTAATTTATTGCTAATAAAATTTGACAATGATAATACTAAAAATAGTGATAATGATATGAAATAAAGAAAAAATTGACTTTCTAAATTAAAATTTTGTATCCAAAATTTGTTCTTATTCTAGTCCTGTTATCTTATACCTATATTGTTTTTTAATCCAAACATTTATTTATTTATTTAAATAATAAATCCAAGTGACATTTTTATTTTTGTAAAAAAAAATAAGTTTATTAAAATAAAAATAAGACACCCATTCTTACTTTAGTTTTACTATGATATTAGAATCATGCAAATCTTTTGGTTATTAACTTTAATATTTAGTCTTTGAATCATACGTTTTAGTTTCTTATTGTCTTTATAAACATTAATAATGGTAGTGATAGAGTGGATAAAAAGAATATTAAAAGTTAAAATGCCATCTACAATATAATACATTATCTTAATTGTTATCGTTCGTTCTTCCGTTGCAATTCACGTCGCAACACTACTAAAGACAAATAATAAAATTTCAAAAAAGAACAAATCTATTCCAAAATTTAAAATAAAAATTAATAATTAATATTATTGTTAAAAAAGTGTTCAGAATACAATCCCGGTTGAAATTTTAAGATCAACATTACATCAAATTTTGTCTCCATTTTATTATTTTTGTGATTATTATTATTATCACCTGAATCTTTCATGATTTTAAAAATAATATCTAATTTGTATGAATATTACCTTATCCTATGAGGATAATACAACTGATATTTTCTCTCAAGTAATATAATAATTTTTAAAATCATGTTTCATCAACGGTGGTAATTTTTTTTCTCAAAATATCTACAAATTAAATAACAAAAATGTTTATTTAATTATGTCAAAATTAAAAATGCATTATTCTATTACTCGATCATCCCTCATGTATTATACTTTTGTAAGAATACTTTATTTAGAAGCATTATTTTATACCACTGCATGTGATTTTTTTTTCTTTTCTCTTTAAATAAAAAATGAAGAATAAAATAATTTTTTAAATTGTTTTCAACACCCTCAAAATATTTTCTTTTATTTTGAATTTCAACACTCTAGATACATTTTCTTTTATTTTAAATACTTTTAAAAAGGGCCTTAGTTCACTTTTATTTTCACATATTAAAATACCTCAAAGTTTTGAAAAGTATAATTTTTTTACAACTTATTAGATATATTAAAAGAGTTATATTTACATTTACATATCGTTTTACATAATTTTTTTTAGGCAAAAGAAAATATATTACTAAGAATAAAAGGGGTACTTCAACCTAAAATAGAGCAGAAAACAAAAGAACAGCAGCAGAAACAAGAAAGAGACTACAACCAAATTAGACTAAGGAAGACAAATTGAATGATTAAAACACCAATCAACCAAACTAAACAAATACCCCTCAAAAGATTGAGAGATCCACTGTCACGACCGCAACTGGATGCTATCCAACAATTCTTTACGATCCACCCTACCATGTATGAACATCATATAGTTCCTCTGCAGCCACAAAGACCAAATGACGCAAACCCAGACAAAAGCAAAACACTACATGTATTTTTTAAACTGCCCCAACCCCCACCAACAAAGAGCACCCATATCACAAGGAAAAACCACCTTGACCCCCAACCACCTCCAGCCAAGTACTAAACGGCATAGGACACAGTAAGAAAAGATGAAGAGGAACCTCACCCTGCATAGTACAGTAAGAACAGGCACTACTCTCCAAAGCAATGCCATGCCGCTACAATAACAATTTGCAAGGAATAACATCCAAAAGCATCTGCCAACAGAATACCAGACATTCAATTGGAGCCTTACATCACCATAAAGTTTTCATAGCCACCTTAAAATCATCATTAACACCCTGAGATCCACCCAATAAACCATACAGTCAATCATACGCAATCTTAACAGAATAACCACCAGTAGCACTACCCATCCAAGACCAATGATCTACCTTATCATAACAAATTTGGACACCCTAAAGCATATCCAACAAATTCGACATAGGAAGAAGCTCATAATCAAATGGAGTTCGACGCCACCCAATCTCTCAAACCCAACGCAACCCCTCCCATCTACCATTAGCAGCAACCAAAGACAAAGGATCCGCTGCAAAGGAATGTAGCCTAGGAAAAACCTCCTTCAACCGAACACCACCTAACCACTTATCCTCCTAAAAAAAAGTGGTAGAACCATCCCCAATACGAGGATGGACCTTTTCATCCAACCAATTACTACCTTGCTGGATAACCCATACTAAGTCACGCCACTACCATGAAGCCCTTCTATCAACAACAGAGAAATTAACAAAAGAATGCAGACCTCCATACCTCACCACAAGGACTTTGGACCATAACGCATCTGGGAAGGAGATACACCTCCAAATTCACTTACCAAGCAAAGCCCAATTAAACAATTTAACATTCTTAATTTCAAGGCTATCCCCCATTCATGGTTTGCAAACCATATCCCACTTCACCCAAGGGATCTTAGACCCTTCCTTCACCCCATTCCAAAAAAACAAGCGTATAATCTCAATGATTTCCTTTACAACCGAAGTAGGAGCCTTAGAGAAGAGAGAGAATGAATAGGAATAGAGTTAACTACCGCA